CTATGGTTTCTCCCTCTGTTATCACATAACTGTGTGTACATTGTCTTGTTTGCTGCAAGTTCATTTTACTTTTAATTGTTCCAGTTTGCTGTTATTAGATGTTACCACTCTCCTTACAATTTCGAAAAAGCTTAAATGGTTATAATTCTATGAAGTGATACTTGAATCTAAATTCCCTGTGGAGACGATATTTGGATCTTAATTTTACTCATCACTTGCTGCAATCCTAGTGCACTTGCTAGTGTAGATTGCTAACAACATATAGCACTTTTCCTTTTTCCAAATACAAAGAATATGCCATCTTAAATTTTATGTGAACCATCACCAAGTTATAATTCCAGTATCTAGCTATGTCCAAAGTTTTCAGGTTCAGCTCAACTCTTAATTGCCATTGTTCAATGTGCTAAATGGAAAGAAATATGATAACAACTGCAGGATCAAAGTTCCATGATAAAAAAAAAATTAATGAAATGCAAAACGAATCACTGCAATTCATTAGAATAATAATCCAGAATGTCTTGATTAACAGTTTACAGTACTAAAAAGCACACTAGTACTTATAAAATTCAATTTGAATTCTTTTTCTGGATATTAGACTGATGAAAATTCATTCAGCATTTCATAGAACATGTTTTACATCATTCTCAGTGCTACATTGCACGAATTTATCAACAAAATTCCCTAATTATTTATGACAATATTTCTGCACATACTCAGCAAAGGAACAAAACAAAAATTCATAATGCAGATTCAAATTCTCATTAAAAATTACAGGTCTGGCATGTATTCAATTCAATCACACCTTAATTGCATGTTCCAATCATCAATTAAACATAATTCACTCCCAAATCACAATCCCCAAATTATCCCCAAATTAGATTCAGAAGAACCCTAAAATTTAAATTCGTGAATTGAGGAAAATTACCTGGAATTGGAGTGCAGAACTGATACAGACTTACTCGACAGTGATAATGTAGTGGAATGAAGTCTAAGGTTCAGTTCAAAACATGCAGAAAATTTATGATTTTTTATGAAGGTTGCTGGGCAGCTAGGGTTTTTCACAGTGCGCTTTGGCTCGAAGGGTTTTAAGTGAGAACACTGAATGCGTGAAGGCTTTAAATAAGGTCAGTAATCATGCAGACAATTCTGTTTAAAATTACCTCAGGCATGGCTACTTCACTCGTTCTGCGTTTCAACTTAAGACCCTCATGCAGCTCACGTGCTCACTTTAAAATGAAAAAAGTTAAGGTTTAAAGATCTGACCTTTGCGCTTGTTGGCTTCAAACAGCTAGGGTGAAGGCGGCAATTACGCGTGGAGGCGTCATGTGAGTAGAGTGAAGACGCGCAACTGCTCCTCCTCAGCTCTTTACTTAAGGCTTCTGCGTTTTGGCTCTATCCATTTAGCGTGTCAACGCGCAACTTTGCGTTGAAACTTCAGCTGTTCAGAGTGGAAATGCATAACTCTCCGCTTCAAATTCTTCCTTATTAGTCTGCGCGTGTTGGCTTCAAGTGTTTAAAGTCTCAACACACAAATCATAAGGTCCCTGTGTTGTTACTCTACTCACTTGAAGTTTCAACTCCCATGATTGTTCCCTTTATATCAACTTAAGAACTGCAATTTTTCTGCAATTTAAGTTCACCATCTAATTTTTCCTTGAATCACAGCAAACAACCAATAACTTTTCACTACACTTCCTTATCAAAAATCAAATTTCAAAATATTAATTTCTACCTAATTCAACAAAATATACTACTATGACTCAAGATTAACTAGAAATTCAACATCTAAACTTCAATTAATAAGAGTTCAGGTTTTAGAAACGTGAGTTGCCTCTCACAAGTGCTCTTTTAACGTCACTAGCTTGACATTTGATGTTTCTCATTCAAGAGAAACCACTTTAATGTATGAAATTTCCTTTGAGAATGCCTCTCTATGATAAATTTTCAACTTTTGACCATTAACTTTGAACTCTCTTCCTGTATTAGGATCTACCACCAAGACTGCACCATGAGGTGATACTTCTTTAATGAGGAAGGGTTTAGACCACCTTGATCTGAGTTTCCCTGGAAATAATTTCAGTCTTGAATTGAACAGCAACACTTGTTGTCCAGATCTGAGTTCCCTTTTTAAGATGAATTTATCATGAATCCTTTTGGTTTTCTCCTTGTATATCTTGGCATTTTCATAGGCTTGCTGTCTGAATTCTTCCAATTCATGTAATTGCAGAATCCTCTTTTCTCCAGCCTTTGACAAATCAAAATTCAGCCACTTTGTAGCCCAATAAGCCTTATGTTCCAATGCAACAGGTAAGTGACATGCCTTTCCATAAACTAATTGATAAGGTGACATACCAATTGGAGTCTTAAAGGCTGTTTTATATGCCCATAGACAGTCATCTAGCTTTTTGTACCAGTCCTTTCTTGATTGATTCACCACCTTCTCTAAGATTTGTTTAATTTCTCGATTTGAAACTTCCACTTGTCCACTTGTTTGTGGATGATAAGGTGTAGCAATCTTATGTCTCACTCCATATTTTGCTAAGACTGAATCAAGATATTTGTTACAAAATGAGTACCTCCATCACTTAGTAAGAGTCTAGGTACTCTAAACCTAGTGAATATGTTTCTTTTGATGAAAGATATCACCACTTTAGCATCATTGAACCTTGTTGGGATGGCTTCCACCCATTTAGACACATAGTCTACTGCCACAAGTATATATTCATGAGAAAAGGACGTGGGAAATAGTCCCATGAAATCAATTCCCCAAACATCAAACATCTCTACTTCTAAAATATTGTTCAAGGGCAGTTCATGCTTCCTAGAGATATTGCCTGTCCTTTGACACTTGTCACAGCTTTCAACATAATTCTTGGCATCTTTAAACAATGTTGGCTAGAAAAATCCTACTTGCAAGACTTTTGCAGCAGTCCTTGAGCTACCATGGTGACCTCCATATTCTGAGTTATGACAATGCCAAAGAATTTCAGCTTATTCTCCTTGCGGTATACACCTTCTTAGCAGACCATCTACCCCTATTTTGAACAAATAAGGGTCTTCTCATACATAAAATTTGCTATCATACAGAAATTTCTTTCTTTGTTGCCAATTAAACCTTGTTGGAATCAGCTGAGTGGCCTTAAAATTTGCTAAATCAGCAAACCAAGGTGACTCTTTCACTACAAATAACTTCTCATCTGGAAATTCTTCATTGATGTCCAAAGAATTAGAGTTCAAACTGTTCAATGGCAGTCTAGACAGATGATCAGCTACTTCATTTTCCTTGCCCTTTTTATCTCTAATTTCAAGCTCAAACTCTTGCACCAGCAGAATCCATCTCCGCAATCTTGGCTTGGCATCCTACTTTGATAACAAAAATTTAAGTGCAAAATGGTCAGTATACATTATTACTTTTGATCCTATCAAGTATGATCTGAATTTATCAAAGGCAAACACAATGGCAAGGAGTTCCTTTTCAGTAGTTGTATAATTCATTTGTGCAGGATTTAAGACTTTGCTGGAATAATAGATCACATGCAATTTCCTGCTTTTCTCTGCCCTAAAACAGCTCCTACTGCACTATCCCTAGCATCACACATTAATTCAAATGGTAAATTCCAATCAGGTTTGGCTAGAATAGGTACAGAAATGAGTTTCTCTTTTAAAACAAAAAATGCATGCAGACATGATTCATCAAACACAAATTCAGTTTCCTTGACAGTAAATCACTAAGTTTTGCTATTTTTGAAAAGTCTTTTATAAACCTCCTATAAAAACCTGCATGACCTAAGAAACTCCTAATTCCTTTAACATTAATTGGTGGAGGTAGTTTACTAATGACTTCAATTTTGGCTTAGTCCACCTCAATTCCTTTTTCAGAAATTCTATGGCCAAGGACTATTCCCTCTTGAACCATAAAATGACACTTTTCCCAATTCAGCACAAGGTTTGTATCTTGATATCTTTGCAAAACAATGGACAAATTAGATAGACAATCATCAAAAGAATTGCCAAATACAGAAAAATCATCCATGAAGACCTCAATGGTCTTTTCTACTAAATTTGAAAAAATGGACAGCATGCACCTTTGGAATGTGGCTGGAGCATTGCATAATCCAAATGGCATCCTTTTATATGCAAATACTCCAAATGGACATGTGACGGCAGTCTTCTCTTGATTTATAGGGTCCACCGCTATTTGATTATAGCCTGAATATCCATCAAGGAAGCAGTAAAATGCATGTCCAGCCAATCTTTCTAACATCTGATCAGCAAATGGTAATGGAAAATTATCCTTCCTTGTTGCATCATTAAGCTTTCTATAATCAATGCACATGCACCAGCCTGTGACAGTTCTAGTGGGTATTAATTCATTCTTTTTGTTTGCCACTACAGTTATTCCTCCTTTCTTAGGAACAACTTGAACTGGGCTGACCCATTGACTATCTAAATTGGGTAAATTATCCCTGCATCTAATAGCTTCATTACCTCTTTTCTAACCACTTCCTTCATAGCTGGATTCAACCTTCTTTGTGGCTGTACTACTGGCTTGTAGTTGTCCTCAAACAGAATTCTATGTCTACAAAAGGATGGGTTAATACCTTTCAAATCTGAGATGTGCCATCCAATTGCAGATTTGTGATTCCTTAAAATTTTCAGCAACTTTTCTTCTTCATCTCCCTTGAGATTATTGCTTATAATCACTGGATATTGATGTCCTTGATCCAGAAAAGAGTACCTCAAGTGAGATGGTAATTGTTTCAACTCAAGTTTCTCCATTTTCTCCTTTTCCTCTTCCTTTTTTAGCTCCTCTCTTGCTGAATTTTTGGATAAAGGGATAATAGGCAGTGTTTCAAGTTGCTGAACATATTCCATGAATTTTTCTTCTCTTTTTACAGTAGCTTATGAATTTCTTGCAACTATAATTTCCCTTAACATAGAAAATTCATCAGCATTATCAATTAATTGAGAAAATGAAATAGATTCTAAAATATCAACTCTCATGCTGTGCTATTATCACTAGGATGTTTGAGTGCTTCAAAAACATTAAAGGTAACATTTTCATCCTGCACTCTAAGCATTAATTTCCCTTTTTGTACATCAATCAAATCCTCTACAATACCATATGGATAAGTATATGATCTGTCCGCAAGTTGTAGAGTGATGCTTGTTGGCTTGACTTCCTCTATTCCAAGTCTTTTCATTATTGCAAGAGGCATAAGGTTGATGCTTGCCCCAAGATCACACAAAGCTTTTCCTATTGTGCAATTTCCAATAGAGCATGGAATGCTGAATGAGCCTGGATCTTTTAATTTTTGAGGCAGCTTTCTCTGCAAAATAGCACTGCATTCTTCAGTCAAAGGAATTGTCTTGTCATTTTCTAACTTTCTCTTCTTGGACAACAACTCCTTCATGAATTTTGCATATGAAGGCATTTGTTCTAATGCTTTAGCAAATGGTATGTTTATTTGGAGCTTCTTAAAGACGTCTAGAAACCTCTCATACTGCCTTTCTTGCTTAGGATTGGTGACTCTTTGTGGATAAAGCAGTCTTTTGTATTTCTCTTCATCTAGAGGCTTGTTTGAATCTTCTAAAATTTGTCTCTTTGTTCTTCTCACCGTTTTAGGGAAGGTATCCATTTCTGAATTTTCTCTTTTCAATAAGGTGAAGTTCCCTTCCTCTAGATTAGATTTAATCTTCTCCTCTTCCTTGGTTTTCTCTCTTTTTTCAGCTGGTTTTGGACTAACCACAACTGCTCCACTCCTAGTCATCACAGCTTGGCATTGTTCTTTTGGATTTATAACCGTGTTGCTAGGGAATCTCCCATCTTCTCTGCTGGACAGTTGCTCAGCTAACTGTCCAATCTATGTTTCCAACTTTTTCATGGAAGATTCTTGATTCTTAAAGCTTGTTTGTGTTACTTTCATAAATTGCAGCATGGTTTCTTCCATTTCGTTCAGCCTTTCATTCAGTGGTTTAGAGAACCTTTGATTTTTTTGAAGTTGATTGGCTGGATTCCCTTGAAAATAAGGTTGTTGTGCTGCTGGACCTACATTTGAAAATGGAACAACAGAGTTAGAATTTTTCCAATTGGAATTTTGGTTATTCCAGCTATGTTGCTGCTGGTTTCTATTGTTAGAGAACTGAAAACCAGGGGGAAATGAAGATTGTTGTCTCTCAAAATTCCCCATATAATTGACTTGTTCTTGAGATTCAGAATTATTTCCATCACAAGCTCCATTTACATGATTCCATCCACAAAAATCACACACAAGTGGAGTGTTCTGTATTGGTGTAGCTTGTAAATTGCTGATTTGTTGGGTGAGCGCAGCTATTTGTTCACAAAACAATTGGTTCTGCAGCTGATTTTGAGCCAAAAAAGTCTCAAGAAGTTTTGCCTCATAACCACTACTCCTTGTTGATTGTCTCAAACTACAGCTTTGATGCATGGAGGAAGCCATCATATCTATAATTCCTTAAGCTTCTTCTAGTGATTTGGTGTTTAAAGAACCTCCTGCAGCTGCGTCTATCATGGTTCTAGTTGCTGGATTCATCCCATTATAAAAGGTTTCAAGTTGCATCCATTCTGGTATGCAATGGTGTGGGCATCTTCTCAAGAGTTCCTTGTATCTCTCCCATGCCTCATATAAAGTTTCTCCTTCTTACTGCATGAAGGATGTGATCTCTCCTCTTAGCTTTGTAGCCTTAGAAGGTGGAAAATATTTAGAGAAAAACTTGTTAACCAGATCTGTCCAAGTAGTTATGCTCCCTTGTGGTTGGGCTTGGAGCCAACATTATGCCTTGTCCCTCAAGGAAAATGGAAACAATCTTAATCTAATTGCATCTTCGCTGACTCCATTGATCCTTATGGTATCACATAACTGCAGAAAATTAGAAATATGCAAGTTAGGATCATCTAAAATTAAACCAGAAAATTGATCTTGTTGAACTAGGTGAAGTAAGGCAGGTTTAATCTCAAAATGGTTGGCTTGAATGGTTGGTCTGACAATAGAAGAGTTGTATCCATGCATATTAGGTACTCCATAGTCTCTTAAAGTCCTTTGTCTATGTTGTTCAGCCATCTTTGCTTCTGAATTTACAGGTGAAGGTGGAGAATTGACTTGTTTTTCTGTTGAGTTTGGTGAAGAAGGTGTAAACTGTGAATTCTGTGACGCCTAAAAAATAGCAGGATTTTTTTTTTCAATTACGAACATAATCTCTCTCTTCATAGAGAGTTTTAATCATACAAATAATATTCCGTATTCCATAGACAATGATCATTTCACTTTCCAATTTCAACCACACAGTGGGATAAAGACAAACATAACTCGTGACATAAAGGTACTCAAGGTATTTAATCATCAGTTTGGCAAAAATAGTAAAATATTCAGATAGCGTCGAGAGCAACAAACATTAACCCAATCCATCAAACAGAATCACAACATAAGTAAACTAAACGCCCTACGAGCAGTCCCACTAGGACAGAAACAAACAACAAACTTCACTCATAAGGTGGATAATCCTCAATGGGATCAGACTTCTCAGAAGATGTCGGGGAAGTAGAGCTAGAGGAAGCAGCGTCCTCAGTGTCCTCTTCAATCCATCCAGCAGTGTGAGGTGGCGAATGGACGATAGTGAAGGGCGAATAGGTGTTTGGGTAAGTAGTGAGCATATGGGCCAGTACATCATCATTCTTCACTGAGGGTTCTGCCATATGGACATCTCTCTCAGTGGCCACAGGGGGTGGAGTAGGATCCTTAGTAGGGAATGGTATAGGTGCAGGTACTGGTCTAGAACTGGGAGTACGGGGATCAATAGACATGGGAGAAGGAGTAGCTGCAAGTGCAGGATAAGGTAGGTAAGAATCGCTAGGTAGGGTGCAGAAAACAAGCTCGATGGGGGTGTCAACCATAAAGTGGGTGGTCCATGAGTGTCCGACATCCTGTCCATGAATCACTCGTGCCATTCCATGGAAGATGCTTTGCTGTGCTGCCGCGTCGAACACCCAAACGTCCTCCTCAGATGGCAGGATCCATACCTTCACTCGGAAGCTGGTCATCTGTATAAGGCATATACAAAAGTACAACAACACACACCAATAGGGTTGAGTTCTCCAAACACAAACAAACATTCAATAGCCGTACCCCAAGGAAGGTGGCTTTTCACACCATCACCCAAACCACATCATTATCCAATCTCAAAACAAACATCAGTACAATATAAGTTGGTTCATACTTCTCATAGATAATTCCTAGGTTCATCAAACTAATAATGCACATGATGCATGAATGCAAGTTTCTTTCCTCGCTATCCATCCCTTGAATTTTCGTTTTAATGCATATGGTATGCATAGGGATCCCTTACTCTACTGCCAGCGACTTGCCCAGCATTTAGTGTAGAGTTAACAATTTCATATCCAAGTCGTATGGCGATCGGAGGACTCCATTCCTTGTATCACAATTGCACAGAAAAGAATTTATGTCATTATTCAAAAACACCCAAACTAGTGCTGGCCCCAAACTGGGTCTCTTCGGAAATGGACCTCAACGACCCTAGGATGTGGAGTTCTTGTCGGGCTTGGCTAAGGCTTGCAAGTAGGGTCACGACCCAGCCACAGAGAGCTCTGCTGTGCCATCTAGGTGGACTGTTCCCCCTTTCGCCACCCCCGTAGGTCTACTCGGGACCGAACCTCCAATACCTACAGCTGTGCCTCTATTATGCCATCAAGTCATTCCAAAGAAATGTTATGATGCATGGAGCATGATTTTCTTTTCTCTCCCCAATGTTTTCTCAATCTTGGATCACATGGAATTCAAAGCACAGAATCAAAGCCCTCACAAGGCCTGCTCAATCATTATTCACTTTCTTATCCAGCATAAATTTGTTAAACAACAAGGTTTAGGAATTACATACAAGCTTCCAATCCCGTCAATACACATCCACTATTTCTCAACACATAATTTCAGTCATTTTGACATAATCCACTCAGATTTTCTCATCCAATTCTATTATAATAATTTACTATATCACCATCGCTCACTTTATCATTTCCATCGTTATTAACTATACTACTTCCTATTTAGATATGACTTGTTTCCACTTTCCTCTTTCTCTCTGGTTTTTCCATTTAGTTATTTTCTAATTACTTGTATTGATTCCCGACTATCTATTTAATTCAAGGTTACTTAGTTTAGTTCTAGCTTTCTTTAGGTTTATTAATATTAAGTCCTCACGCCATGTGTTCTATTAAGTAGCTAACAGTGAGATCTTACCAAGAATGACTTTTATCAATTAACTACTATGTCCAGACCCTTAATTACCATCTCCATACCTTTAATTACTATCTTTTCAGTTTGGGTAAATTTTTTCATCAAAAAGGGCTGCACTTGATTTTCCCCTTTTATTCCTTACATAATGCAATGAACATAATGCATGATTCATCTTAATACTCACAGATCCAGGTGCAAACAGCAAACACACCCTATCATTATACAATCCTTATCACCTATATTTCATCAAAATTAACACAATTTAAAGTACAACTTTTAGGATTCCTTATCATCAAAACAGAGAGTGAATAGTTTTCACTTTCTTATCCACCACAAATTCCCAAAGCAACATGCATGAAACTTTTTAAACCAAGTGGAAATGTACATCACAATCAATTCAATCATCCATCATCCAAACTAACAAGCAACCATTTTCATGTAAATCACACAAAATCCAGCACGATTTTCAAATTCTAAAGTGTAGTTCAATTTTTTTCTATATGGTTTGAGTGTCCAAAAATTAAGATTTTCCACCACAATTACCTTTTCTTTTTGTGTGACTTCCCTTTATAATTTTACTAACTTTCCTTAAATAAATTTTTTTTTGAACTTTAAGTACAACATTCTAGTCTTTTACAAGAAAAATCAAATCTGTCCAGCCTTTCCACTAAATTTCTGTCAAGTTAAAAATAGGTAACACAAAGGAAATTAACATGCAATGACATAGTTTCATCGTCCAAGTGCAGGGGCAACATTTCCAAGTGACATTCAAACTTCCAAGGGAAAATCGAAACACTTAGGGGCTGAAATCAATATGCAATGGCTTCCATTTCACATGCAATCCATGGTTTATTGATTACAAGAGTAAATCAACATTTTAAACAAAGAATCTAGCCAAACAAAAGCGAAACCGAGGCATGCACAAAGGGATCCAAAGCATTTCATGGTTAAAATTCAACATGCAAGTGAAAGGATATGTTAATCAAGTTCACAGTTCATGGTTTCAAGGAAGAATTATCATTAATTCAAGGATTTCACCAAGGGAACATAAAAATCGAGACATGTACAAGGGAAAATCCACATCCACACATCAAAGTTTCAAGCTTTTAAGGAACAAAGTTGATTAAAAGTGGAATCAAACTCTTTAGAATGTAACTGAGGCATGCAAACAAATAAATCCACACACTTTTTGGATAAAATTTAACATGCAAGTTCAGATTTGAAGTTCTTCAAACATGCAGTCCAATATACACTATTTTTCAAAGGGAAAATAAGCAAAAACAGCCAAGAAAGGGACATGCAAACACATCTATGGTGAGAACTCCCCCTTGCCTTGAATGTGTCAAAAATTTGAGATCAAAAGGAGTTAATCTTGGCTGGTTCTTCAAAAGAAAGGTGCTGGATCGAGAGGATGAGTTTCAAACTTCAATCTTTCTCTTCTTGGTTAGGTTGTCTTCCTCGGTTCTTTGAAGAGAAAATGGGAAAAGCTTCAAAATGGTTAA